ATCATTTCACCTCGAATTTATTTCTTTGTGCCGCGTAGGTTTTTGAGTCTTGTGCTCGTGTTTTACTTTGTTACTGCGATTCTGGACAAACGTATTCAGAGCGCGAAAAGTCCTCTTTCATCTCTGTTGACAACTTAGTCTCAATATTTTTTCCGTTTCATCGAGAAATTTACGATTATTGTAATTGGCATAATTGGCCAGTCGCGGGTGAAATTTTTCTTCAACATTTATCTTAACTCTAAATAATAATGTTCGACCATACTCGACAATTTTTCTCTTATCGTTTGCGACAACGATTAAAAATACAACAACAAAAACAACACATCCACGAATATTAATTGTTACTCGATGAATATGATGATGAGGCAGCGCGTGCATGATAAATACGTAAAATTTCATATCCAATCAATTGACTATGCAAGCCCACAAACTAATTTAGTTATTTACTGAACGATCAAATGTATTATTACTTGGTGACGATGTGTAATTTTTGATAAATTATTAATGAGGCGCATGTAATTTCCAAGTGATAAATAATTTGAAAGCAAATTAAAAAAAAAAACTCTTGATTTAAACTACCAATGAATTGCCTTCCAACAGTATGTCGAGTTTCAGTATTTCAGTATTTCCTTATCTATATATACCATATTAGATAGAAAATTGTTACAATTATTATTATGATTTAATATAATCAATTTCAATGAAGTACAATACTTTTAGCAATAATTATTAAAGTAATAAAAATGACTGTCCGATCGTAATAATGATTGTAACAAAATTATAAAGCAAAAATATTTTTGGAACCTGGAATAATTGCAATACCCATCCGTGCAAACACATACACACGCAAAATAATTATTATTATTTCAGCATAATCGATTGAACAAATAAGGAAATGCCACTAATGCACAAAGATTGATAAACAGTGAAAAATGCGTTCAATAATAATCAAAAATAAGCCGATAAAGCTATCCAAATTAATATTTCGGTATTTGTAAATACGATTATCGAACGTAGCGGCATTCTGATACTCCGATTGCAAAGATCGGAAAGCTGTGAAAATTTTTAAGTGTATTTATTCCGAAGACAGGATTGCGAAATAAATAAGAAATTCTGTTGCCTTTAACAACAAGCGCGACCGCGAAAGTCCAAAAAAAAAAAAAACTTCCCGAAATAATTTCGTAGCCGCACTTACACACGTGCGTCACTCGGCTTACCCCACGACTCAATACAGGCACTCCTAAAAGTAATGACCGGTAAAATCATCGTAATTAAGCTCGGCCGACGAATAAATCAACAAAGAATTAAACCTTCGTTCCGAGAGGGGAAGCGAGGGGCGTAAAAAGAAACGAAAGCAGATTCGAAAAACCAATTCTCATCTCCATTAGTCATCATCAGCTTTCACTCTTCGAACCGCGAAACCACGTACACCGTATATATGACGCTTGCCGTTTCAAAAAAGCCAAGGTGCATGTCTTCTCGTATCTGCATCCTTCTCCCCCTCCGCGCTCCCCCCACGATGATTAATTAGCGTTAGTCCTGGGCGCGCAATGCGAAAGTTAACCCAACTCCAAGAGTATTGTAATAACAGATAAACCCTATTTGCCAATGCTCATGGCCAGGATTAGTGAAAAATCAGTGCCACACCTACTTTTATAGAGTTCAAGTGCACTCGAGGGCCGATCAAATGATGTTTTTGAGCACATTCACGAATATTAATCAACTGCATTATGGTTTTGGCGGTCCTGAGAGTACTATACGCAACATTTGTCCAGTACTTTCCGTATAATTTTTGCTCTTGACATGACAAGTGCACCGTACAAATAATAATGAACAGGTAGAATATTGAATCAAAACCAAATATGTCGATAATAAATAACGAAAATCGACATTCTCATAATGTGTTATTGAATTCTAATGATTTGTTAATTGTTAATCGTATTGAACAGCTATTAAATTTTTTTACTTTTCTTCTATATATATATATTATGCGTTATATGGTAATTTTATTCCCTTTCGATTTGAGAATTAAAGAAATATGCAATTTTCAAGATCAATGTATATAGTTGGTTAGTCAATTCTTGACGTTTGTTGTTAAATTTTGAAGAAAATAAATTTTAACACTCCTACCTTTATAAGTTTGACACAGAATTGCCTGCACGAACTAAGGTTTCCCATAAGTTATGTCACGTGTTATATCTTATTAGATTTGTTGCCGTCAAAGATTTGATCAGAATTATACATCTTAGGCATCACTATAGTACGCAAATTAAATTAATTAAGTAAATTGAAAGCATATTACATTAAAGGAAATTCAATTATCCTATAACATATCATTATATTAGATATACAAATAGTATAAATGAACGATTGCACTGTTGATGCTAAAAATTCATTTTTATACAATGGAGAATGACACTTTTGTAAGATTGAATAATCAAATGAAAGCTCCGTCCTACCAACGAACTCCCCATAATTATGCGCAAATTTTAAAACTTTTAACGTAATGATAATGATATTAGTATGTCATTAATAATTTACGTACATTTATTTTAATCTTATATATTACCTATTACAATCTATTATATATAAATATACATAAATAAGTTTGTTAATTAAATAGTAAGTCAAATTTTTAATTAGAAAGTTAGATGCTTACATTAGATGTATATATTAATTGTTGTATTTTACTTTTTGTTAAGCTTCGATTACATTTCTCAAAATTAGTGACATTAAATGTTATTATTATATAACATCTAAGTTTCTCTTTAAAGTCCTGCTACATCGTACAATCTATCACCCAAGTTCATTAATAAACTATTATTTTTCTTTTATTCCTTAATTTTACAATATGTAATTTTACGTTTCGTAAATAATTTCTCAAATATATTGTTAATTGAGCAGAAAAAAAAAAATATATATATATGAAGTTTTATAAAGCATTCGTTTCATGTCTGCTATCTAAAACTTTTGTCGGTAAAGCACATAGTCTTCGTCAGGTCAGAACTCTCTTTCTCATAGAAAGGGAAATCGATAATAATATTGTGATGTTTCAAAAGGATTGCCGAGCTGTCGAGCCCTCTTTCGATTCCTCTTTCTCTCTCTCTCTCTCTCTCTCTCTCAGCCCCTATTCTTCATCCTTGGCATTCGGTACTTTTAGCTTTCGCTCACATCTTGTCAAGTCGCCGTATTTCCAAATTTTGTCATCGCCATCGATAACGCGTGGCAGAAACCGAGTCGCGAGAACACGTAAATAATAAACTAAAAGATGAATTTCAGCGTTGATATTGAGAATATATGTACGGCGAAAGGAACTTCCTGCATTTTCGATGCATCGAGAAACGCGTTGCTTTTCATGTCGAGGGCGAGACCGAATGGTGGTGGTGGTGGTGGGTGTGGTGGGTCGGGGGGGAGGGGATTGTTTTCGAAGGGAAAGTTTCTTTATGAATTTGCGAGTGCATATTACATTATAAAGTGTCGATTAAGTTTTGAGTGCATGATATAATGGCTGCTTTGATGTATCAAACTTTACAAGTACTTCAATTTACGGTTTAAAATTTATAACTGAGAAAAATATTGCATTACTGAATACTATGTATTGCGAACCCAAAGACATAAGGCCGCTATTTTACAAATGCAGTTCCGTTGAAGGTAATTGAGCTCGTAAATAAACACTATAGCCATTAATATGTGTATTTACTTAATTGATGATTTCATTATAATATACCAATTTGCTTTTAATTATTATTTTAATATCTATAGCTGAGTAATAATCGAACAGAAGTTTAATATTTTTAATGCTTAATGTAATTTACGTTGTTAATTGTCAGTCGGTGAGTAAAGGGAAAGCAATCGATAGCGATATGCAATTATAATTATCATATAACTTTAATTTGGCCAATGAAGTTTTGTTCAACAGGCACTTTTTTAATTTAAAAAAAAATATTAATAATGTTCGTTTCGATTGAACGACGATTTTTTAAAATATCCTTCTCATTATCACGATTATTACCTAAAATTAAATTATAAGTGCGTCATTTTACTAAAATATTCTTACATTGCGCATCTCTGTTCGATCGTATGGTAATGTTCGTATATTGAAAAAAGAGTCGACGAACAAAATATTAGTAATACAAAGAATAAATATTTTATCCCGCATATACGTATCTTTAACAATATAATTTTTATTTATTTATTTATTTATTTACTTGTTTTTTTTTATAAAAATTATTAAACGACATCGTGTATACTATTACAGATAATTGAATAAATACTGAGGTGTCCCTGCATTTGTGTCCAAGAAACTCTATAATAAATATTAAAATGATTTATTAACTTTCCTATTATTATCCAGAGTTAAAAATCATCGAATGCAATTATATCATTAGGAAATTCTTCCAACAGATTAAATACAAACTTATATTGCTGAGTTGAGAAGTACATAAGAGCCGATTAATTATTAAAAAGATTCATCTAAATAACGTTATATTGCAGAAGCAAGATCTTATCAGTGGATATAAGCAAACTCGTACATTGGGTAAATTAAGAGCCGTCAGTTAACTTTCAGCTTGAATCGAGATAATTTCCTTATCGGTACTTTACTGGCAAAGCAAAGAAGTAAGGAAGGAAGCAAACCGAATCATCAGCTGACTGAGAGCGAAGTAAGCTCAAACTCTCTATTTCAATATCTCGCCGGAAAATGCCGAGAGAGCTTCAACTCGCACAGTTTTCGATCCCACGCCTCGCGGTTATCACTCTCCCATCGGCCAAGATTCAATCTGACCATTTTATCCCCTCCCGGCTTCATCTTACTACCTCATCGTCCTTAGATTTTGACCATAAGAGGCATTTCTTGCATTCGCTCGAAAAATTCTTTTCCAATTTTTCGCCCAACAACTATTGCATTAGTTCAATAAACAATTTTACGTATGCATTTTGAATTGCACTCAAAGTCCTTCGACCTACGAGATGGTAATCGTTATTTCTTTTTCTTTAGAAATATGGAGGATAAGGTTAACTTAGGAGGAGAAGAAAGAACGTGGTTTGCAATTATTCGCTTATAGTAAGTTTTAGTATTTTCTTTAAGGCAAACTGTATACTGTTTTTCAATTAAATGCAGAGAAAAAAAAATTACATACCGCGAGAAAGTCTAATTATGATTAAAAAGTTAGAATTAAATCAGTGACAATATACTACAATAAAACGTCGTTGCTTTAATATTCAAAAGAGATTTCCCTCAGTTCTCAAAAAACAAAAAAAAAAAACAAAACACAAAAAAAAAAGAGCAAGACATATAATTGTAATCGTAAACATTATAAATCCTATAATTACTAATTTTTAATATAAAGATCACGACTATAAAGCGGTGATAGATAAAATCCGTTTTTAGTAATTCTAAACAGTCGATTGAAATCGATTGTCTATAAAAACTGCATTAGCTTCTCAATCGAATAGATAAAAAAAAAAAAAAAAAAAAAACTCACGGAATAGGTAAACTTTCGACGTGAGCGTCCACTCACTGACACTTCGCCTCAATAGCATAGTCTCCCTTTCAGCCGGAAAATTAGCGGCATTTTCCAGCTGGAAATGAAAAAGAAATAAGAAAAGCCGTAATATGTCAGCAGTGTCGATAAATCTTTTACTTACTTCTTTCCCACGAATACCAGGTATTAGCAGTAAAGGCATAAGGTACTCTCGCTCCCACTATCGACGATATTTCCGGCATAAGACATACGGCTCACAGACTCGTTCTCTACTTAGCAATTTAACCTAACTCGACTTCTACTGATGTTTCACTCCTCTGATTCTGGATTGTAAATGGCAAGGACACGCGACCAAGTTATGCTCACGTCAAAACTCTAATCGAGCCGACAAAAGTGAAATTACTACAGCGTCTAATCGCTCGAAGACGCGATGGAAGTAGTGTCATGTGTCTTTCTTCATTGAGTTTCACATAAAACCACTTGGGATTAATGCAGACGATGGAAAATACAAAATTCTTTATACGCGCAGAGTCCTGCATTGGCACTTATGCGGACAAATAGATGTACTTTTACTAATTTAAAAAGAAAGAAAAATATAATGAATATAAAATTTATTTTCAGACGTATTAAGAAGAACGTAATGAATCAGTAAGGAGATTATCAATGTTTTTAAACGATATTGACATAATTATATGTTAACTATGTCGATACAGCAGCGATTCACATAATAACCCATAACTATTTGTATAATTAATAAATAGTCATTTCAGAGGCTGCGAATACATTGTTCGAAATTATTTGTTTTAAGCAATAGTTGTCGTTACTCGCAGCAACCTTATTGTTCAGATGGGCGAGAGAGAGCTGGAGAGCGAGAGAGAGAGAGAGAGAGAGAGAGAGAGTATTATCGACTAAAAAACTTTTTGCTTTAATTTCAGGTAATTCCGGCCGATCGACGAACGCTAGGCGATAAGGACAGCGACACGTGGAGTCTGGCTGTCGAGCAGCAGGCGCAACAACAAGAACCACAACAGCAACAACAACAACAACAACAACAACAACAATCGGATTGTCGAAGCAGTGAGAGCAACGGCGACGTTGCAGTGCCGCCGAGAGTTTCGGAGACGAAACCGCCGGAAACGAGAGATGCAACGAGTGTGGATCAGCTGACGAGCCGCAATCACGAGACCCGAAAGAGTAAGAGTAAGCGGGTCAAGAGCTACCTAAAAAGGTGCAAAGGTGCGCTCACGAAGAGTGACGAGAGCTCGTGCGAAAGAAGGAAAGACGAACAACAGCAGCAGCGACAGCAGCAGCAGAAGCAGCAGAAGCTACAGCAACAGCAGCAACAGCAGCAGCAACAAGAAAGCGCGTCAGCGTGGTACGTTGAGGATAATAAAGAAGTGATAAAACCGGAGGAGGACGAAGAGGAGGAAGAGGAAGCGGTGGAGGAGGAAGTGGAGGTGGGGAAGGAGGATCGAAACGGTACGGTGACGAGAGAGAACAAGCCAGATGAGCTTTTCTCGCTGTGCAAAAGGAGCAACGCGACGTACGAGGAAACGAGCGACGAGGCGGGGCTCATGCACGAGGACATTGGATGTTTGAACAAGTGCGACTCTAGTAACACGCTCGTCGCCGAGGTGCAGGAACCGAAGGAAGAGAACGAGGAGGATATCATCGCGGCAGCCGAACCCTCCACACCCGACATCATACCCAATTCGGTGGTGAGTACGAATTTATTGGCGCACTTTGACGCAATTTTTTTCGATATGTTCAAGATTATCCCTTATAATTCTGCTTGTGTACTTCTTCTGATAAATTCCATGTTGCACAGAAGAAATTGTTTATTGGCTTTTTACAAACGTTTTTTAAAATTTTTTTTTTTTTTTTTTTTTTTTTTTTTTTTTTTTTTTTTTTTTTTTTTTTTTTTTTTTTTTTTATATAGGTAGCGAGAAAATTTATATATTTCATTATTAATGTATGTAATTTTCTAATTAGCTGGCAGTAGTTATATTCTATAGATCAGTAACTAACAGCTAATTATTATTTACTTCTGTAGGTAAATTAATTTAAGTTAAATTACGAATTAATAATTTATTATCACATCAAGAATGTTGATTATAGCTAATGGAATAAAGACTTGATTCGTTTAAATAATAATTTTTTAAAGGCAAACAAAATATACTCTTATAAATACAGAAATGTACAGTAATGCATTACAGTTACAATCATTATTTACAAGAAACGTTACATTAGTACGAGTAACTTTTGAGTTAAAATCTATTAGCAAACAGAATTCATAAGCGTCAAGATCCATGAATAAACATACAGCCGCACATTCGAAATGCTCATCATAAAGGTGTAACAATAAGTTTTGCCATAATGAATAGTCATTACGCTACATAGGAATTAAGTTCACATAATGGACATTACATTTATGTTATATAAGTAATTCAGTTTTGACAAGTAAAAGAACTTTACGAGTACGAGCCGCAAAGTGCAGTTGAATTACGAATTAAGATAAAATCAGTTGTATTGAAAAATCAAGACACGAATCGTAAATAATTTTCACGTATAATATTGCCTTTAAATAACGTTTATTATATACAAAACCGACTATTTATTCGTATCACATGTAAATTATAAATTATTTGATTAATGGCGCCATTCAACGGCAAATCCATTATAACTTTTCCGTAACTACTATTACAATATATAAATTACAAAATATATTATTAGGCTCGACTAATAGCGCGAGAGTATTTTTTCAAATGACAAATTCAAATGACCCTACCACATTGACATTTAAAAATTGATTTAGTACTTTATCTCCTCCTAAAATAGAGCATTTAAACGCCAAACTCTTTTAAGCGCACAAATTGATTGGCTTAGGCTATTCGTAACCACATTTAACCGCTCCGAATGGATATTTCAAAAATAGAATTACATTTCCATTAAATATTTCCGCTCTTTAGTATGAATGACCGGCTAGGGTCATAATATCATAAATCATGGGCGAGAGTGGAAGGCCGAAAATTGAGGCCCAGTGCGACCGTGGCTGAAGCGTTTGGTAATTTTACCGAATCGAGCGCCGTTTAGCGAATTCATGTCGCTGGCGCCTCCCCGCCGCATTCTCAATTCGCCCATTGAATTGAAAAGCTCGAGTCGCCGGCGTCACGCATCGATCGAGCGAGCGATAGGAGTGAAAAAAAAAAGTGTAGATACCGATTGCCTATAATAAAGCATGTCGAGTCCCCCCCCCCCCCCCCACCCCCTCATCCCCCCCCCACCGAGGCCGAGATGCGGCATTTATCTGGGAAAGCGACGGATCGCGGGTTGCATTGTCTCGATATGCATCGACGGTGTCAAGAATGGAATATCGCTTCGCTCGCAGGCAGCAGTGACCCGCGATTCACTCGCCTCGCATCATAATTGGACTTTTTGGCGTCGTCCTCGTACACGTGCGCCTATCGTCTGAGATTTTCACTCTCACTCGCGCACAATGAAAACGAAACTCTCTCGGGCAGCGCGAGAGAAACAAAATTTCGCTCTTCATTGTCATTGCACGTATCGTGGCGCTAATTCTTTGCTCCGCTCCGCTCTTCTGTGTCCGATGGCATTTTAAGATAACAAAAGTTAAGGTAACATACGCCATGGTTATATGTTTTTGGCTTGTAGATATACTCGTAAGGTCGGTCGGTATCTGCGTCTCTGACTGAGCATCGCTTTATTTGTTGTGGGTGTGTGGATTCGCGCAGTGTTTCACTCGTCAGGACTCGACCGACCACTTACCGAGATAGACACAGAGAGAGAGAGAGAGAGAGAGAGAGAGAGAGAGAGAGAGAGAGAGAGAGAGATAGTTTATATACTTTATGCTTGAATTTCTAAAGGGCTCTATCTCTCTATTCGTTACGGAGCAACAATTAATATTAACCTAATGAATTTTCGTAAAATTAAGTGTGATACGTTCTTTGTAAACCTTGTGTTCATTTATTACGTTAATAAATCTTTTACTTAAAATGACTTTACCCAATTTTATTGAAAAATGCATGTTTACTATTTCATATACATCAACTGGTCTTTTGCTACTAAATTACACGTGGTTTCTCGGAAAAAGAATTATATTATTTTATACTCTTGCGATCTTGTTCGAGTAACTTGTATGCACGATACAGTTTTAGGAATCTTGATTAAGCGTGTGTTTAATTAACGCAAAACAAAATTTAAATTTTATAAAAATAGAAACTGTTCGTTCCAAATAGTTCAAATAGTTTATTAAAAGAAAAGTTACTTCTAAATTCATTAAAGAGCTGTCGAAAAAAATATTTTGAAGCCCAAAATTTGAATAATGTACCATTACATTTTCAATTTTATGTAAATATAAACTATTTAAGTGTTGCGTGCCAGACTAAAAGTCTTACGTATTATTTATTAGAGAATTTCTTCACAATTCAATAATAAAACAGCAATTATGCTTTCAAAAGAAATTTCAGAATTTTTTCTTTTCTTTTTTTTTTTTACTACTGATTGTAGAAGAGAATTATGATTAAAAAATGAAAATTTACATATTCTAAAAATTGTCGGAAACAATTATTTTCATAAATAGAAAGATATAGAACACGATTAAATGTTAAAAATAACTACAGTCTTATTATATTTTGCGCACGGATATAATAAGGCTTGAAAGTCAAAAAGTTAAGAAATAGACAAAGGGGAAAGCCAAAAGACGTTAAAAAAAAAAGATACAAATCACGATGGTGACATGGCAAAAACATTTAGAAAACCTGTAACAAAAACTACTGGCGGTTAAATATTATAATCGAAAGCTATCCATACTCTCACGCTCTAGATTATAATCAATTGAAGATAGTTTTTAGCAAAAAGGTCGGAGGTCATGCTGATGTATTAGAGGTCTCATAGGAGCATGCAAGACAGATGTTATGGCTTCTATTAAAATTTTTGTCTAATCCATATTTAACTTATCATTGCACGGGAATTCTTAAAGAAAAATCAAGATCTATCAAGTCGGTTGAAAAATAAATTCTTATCGTATATAAGTTAAGCAGCTAAATGATAAAGAATAGAATTATAGAATTTCTAATCGAATAAGGAAAAAGTAATTCGAATCTCTAAATATATTTTCATCATCGTAAGCGTCTCTGTAGACATCGACGATTATCTGACAAGTGTAGTTGTAAAATATAAAAATGCACTGTATTATTATACCTTATGGATGATCAGGGTAAATTGAATTTTATTTTCACGAGTGTTTTAAAACAAATTACATAATTTTTTATTATACAGAGTGACGTATAATTATGTTATTTATCGTGTTATACGAGGCTATAATTTAGAAAATGAATTATTGAAAAGCAATTTTATTCTATGAATATTTAATCACAAGAACTTGTTAATTTTATAGCGCGATGCTGAATAAACACGAATATTAAGTTTTTTTTTACAAATATACGCGACCGAGATTAACCAAAATTAAAATATTTCGTTCGAGTCTATGCGAATGTACATTTTACATATGCAGCATTTTAAAATAAGTAACTGTTGCGCAAGTAAATAAAGTAAACCAAGTATAAAGGAAAATTTCTATTGTCCACTTTTATGGATAATAGTAACTGAGAAATCCACTTTTTCTTTGCTAAGAGTCTGCATTTACGACATTAATGTCTATACATGTGAGATAAGAAAGATTTTTTAATAGAAATATTATTTCACCCCATTCTACTCTAATTACTTTTTCTTTTGTCTCAATAATTTTACATTCAACTATATACATCTATCATCTTTATAATAAAGATATAAAGAATGCTTGACAATTTACAGTGGAATGGTTAATTCCTAGTAAAATGATAATCTTCTCGTATTTAATGTACTTATGATTATGAAGAAATGAGCGTGTGAATACATCACTTAACAGAAGTCCGGCGTATAATTATAATGTAAAGTTAATCGAATGATAAAATGATAATGATGTAAATGACGTAAATAATATAATGAAGGATAATATTGAAAATTCGATTATTAGAAAAATATCTTATAAAAATGAAAAATGACAAAAGATTAAATTACAATTGAACTAATAAGAAGGCATAATATGACACAATAATGCTTAAGAGATGCAAATCTGGTGTAACTATTTGGAATTTTCACTTTTCTTCATAGATGAAGTAGATGATATAGAATTATTATCATTTTTAAAACAATAATATCGATGCCTCAAAATATTTTTTTCTCTTTTCCTTTTGTTTTTGTTGTTTTGTTATAAGATAATAACATAAATTATCCTGAAATACTTGATTTATTTATTTTCCTTTCTCGTACATGTCATGCATTTAAGGCAAAATTATAAATTATGACCATCAACACGGAATGCATACTCTACATGCATACCACATATTATACATACATACACATATATATATATATATATATATATATATATATATATATATATATATATACATAAACAGCCTTTTTCTGTAGAAAAAAAAAGAAAGAAAGATAAAGTATTATTAGATGATAAGTGAATTCTCGGCTATTACGAAGACGAGGAAAAATCAAATAAGTAGAAATTAACTTTTTTTTATTATTTCAACTTTTATTAAAAAAAAATTAAGCATCGTAATTCAGTAAATTCAACTTCATTTCATTTTTTTAATTTATATTCTCGGTATCTCATAATAGAAAACTAAATTTATACTCGGTAAAA